TCTGGATATTTCGGCCAAACTTCATTCCCAAAGTTGGGATCGCTTCGAATGCCCAAATCTATTGCAAAACAACCATTTATATTATCTCACAACACAAATTTATATTTATAAGAAAATATGAGTCAAGTGTATTGTTTGTTCATACCATTATAGCGAGGAGAAGCCGTGCAATGAATATCAACAACGTGATTCGCCTACGAAGTCCGAACTTTTCAATTTATCTCTCATTTCACGTTTGAATATACTGATTGTGAAGTCTAATGAAATTTTTCCCATGGATACGTCTCAAACCTATCTAGATCTTCCACCAAGTCCAGCTACCATAAATCGATGTAGTTATTCTCCTCTGTGGCCTACAGGACGTACGCCAAGATTATGATCAATCCTAATTTATACTTATCGCTTTTTATTTTCTTGCAACTTACAAATGCATTGTAAGCATCTCCCTTCGTTATCTTTCCCCCACTTTTCTTAAAATACTCTTTCATGATTCGACACTCTTCCCCCAAGGTCTTACCTACGTCGTTATCGTCACCCGCATTTAAGCCCGTAACTAAAATAAATTCTTCCAACCCAAATTTTGCTTTTTTCTCTCATATCTTAAACCAAACTTCTTTTTTGTTGGTCCTTCTCTTTCGCAATAATAATTGATGTATAACTTGCGAAACCAACTTTATGTCCTTCAACCTAAGGAGAGATCCAAAGCAGCTCTCACTAAGCTTTTTTTGTAATTTGTATTGAGCTTCTCATACACATCTCGCACTATTTGCAATCCGCATCTCATCATAATCGTAGCATCAACTTGAAGAATCTTCTCCATAGCACTGCAAATTATAAAATATGTACTATTATTAGAACTGATGGTAGTAAATCACATAATAACAAATATTAAAACTATAAATATTAAAACAAGTTACCTAGATCTTCTAGTTTTTCCTGAAATAGAAGAAATGTTGTAGAATATGAAATTTAATAGCAGGTATTATCATTGTAAACAAGAAAGTATATTTTATTTGATATTCACTTATTAGGCGTTCTTACCTGATGTGCTTTAAAGAACTTGTAAGTACAATGTATTATAAATTGTGCACGCGGTGGCTTCATAGTTAAATGCCTCACCGTAGTATAGGAATTTGCTTACAACTTCAGCATTTTTCATTTTCTAAATCATTTAAACCTAATATAAAGAAGTCATTTTTTTTAAACATTTGGTAAACTTTTAGAAATTATTCGATCTTTCCTAGAAGAATGAGAATAACTCAATGCACTTTGAAGGATAATGAGAAGAGATGGCTTTGGACTTGAAGAAAAAGAGTTAAATGTCGAAGGAATTGTCAATAACCCAAACAAGAATAAAAAACAAAAGAATGATGGAAACAAAATAACCATTAATCCAAAACTCGTAAAAGAGTTCATAGACGAGGCTATTAAAGAATCAAGAATAATATGTTCTACAAGTAAAGGCTGGAAACAAATCAAACTTTAAACTATCAAGACAAAACTGAAATTGAGAAGCTCAAACTTTTCATATGCAAGAAAGAAACATTTAGCTTTAGCCTTGCAAATCAGAGATATATAGCAATCATCACTATTAAATTTCTCAAGAAACTACACTATTAGTATGTAGCAAACAAATGCAGAAGTGAATCTACCAATAGGAAATCAAATATCTGAGACTTCTAATCCGATCAACATATAAATTACAAAGTACTTATTGCCAGGTGCTTAGGTGAATCATAATAACGCAGATGAAAAGAAACATTAAAACAGTGGGAAACAGAACCACCATTTATTTTCTTTTGACAAAACATTACGACTTTTCTCTTTTAGAAAAGGAAGAAATCAAAACATAAACTTTTCCAAGCACACCTGAGATCAAATATTGTCAATTTTGTGCCACAAAACTATCATAATGTAGATAAGTCACTCAAAAGTTTTGGCTATAGGAACCATGAAGATGCTTCCATATATAATACAGAAGAGCTCTTGATATATTATGTGGCTTCCTAAATCTGAGAAGGAGATGGGGAAACAAACTTCTACTACAAAACCCTAAACGGAAAGGGTGGAGAAACAAACATGATACAAATTCAACCGCACGAAAGATGTTATTTAAAGGTGGTCCGACGAGTTTCAAAGTTCAGAAAATGGAGATAGAGAGAGATCGACGGACAAGCCTTAGAAATGGAAGAAGACAGAGAGTTTTGATTCTTGAGAGCTCTAATTTGAGAATGAATTGGGTCCTTTCTTTTTTAGTTTGGGGAGAATTTTGAAGTTTATAATTCTCTTTTCAAATATTTAAATATTTATATTTTATATTATTTTCAAAAATCTAGTCAAAGGCCTTTTGAACAAAAATCAATTGAAAGGCAGCCTTCCCAACTCATTTCCCCATAATTCTTCGTTTCCTACAAACTCTTTTTCATTAGTTATTATTATTTTTGGATTGGATAACCAGTCTTCTATTTTGGACAATTACACTATGAAGTCTTCATGGGGCGTCTCCCTTTTATTGACGGGTAGTGGAATTACCACTACTAAGATTTTTCGATCTATGTCTGGTTCCAACTCGTTCGTTCACAAAGGAATTCCTCAAAATTCAAACACAACGCCTTCAATATTTCACCGACAGATGAAATCGTATATTACCGTAATCTCAACTCTTTCTAACTCACAAATGCATTAAGGAAATTACACAGATATTACACAAAATCACGAAGGAGGCGCAACTTTTAGACAGAGTGCTAGGATTCAAATGACCCTAAAGTATGAGAGAAAAAATCCTTTTAACATGCATCCAACAATAGTTATGCATCCTTGATTAATCACTAATGGATTATCAATATGGTACAAGAATGTGTTCCTCCAATTACATTGCTCAAGTGATTGCGATTATAGTCCAAGGCCCTTGTATCACATTTAGTAATCTCCACCTTAATACAAGTCTTTGAGAAAATAAGTAGCCCTAGTGCGTTACACTTACTCATCTTTATTCCCATGTAAGTTGATTAAATGGAGACGCTATCTTTTCAAGTTTAACATGATATAACAATCTCTCTAATAAAATAAAGCTGCATACCAACATGTTTAGTACATTCATGAAACACTGAAATTTTACATAAATTTATGGTTGACTGACTATGACTCTCTAAATATAATCTTACATGCTCACTTAAATAATCAAGTTCTTGTAACATTCCTTTAAGCCACAAGAGTTCCTTCATAAGTTCTGTAGCATGCAACTACGTATTCATATTAAGCTATTGAAAGGGCCTCAATGTGCTGGAACTATGATTTTCAAGAAATACAAGTATCACATAATTTAAAAACATAAGAAGAAACATATTTTCTTTTATTCCTATCACGTGCATAATCACAATCAACGTACCTTTTTAATTTTACCCCTTCATTACTTTGCTTGAAAATCAACTTTAAGTTTTTAAGTCCCCTTAAGGTATCATCTACTTCGAAGAAGCTCAATGTTCAAGCCTAGTGTTAGCCACATATCTACGAAGCACGATGATTACATTGGCCAAATCATGCATTGTATACATTGTAGTGTACATCGCTGATCCTCCAACATTGGAATATGGGACACCTAAATTTGATCTACTCCTTTAGGAAGACCTTTTTTATTGAATGTAAAGTAGCTTGCCAAGGAATTGAAGTCATTTGAGACGTCTAAAATTTGGTTAACATTTTGTTGATATAAGAAGTTTATTTAAAGGCAAGAACACATTGTTCTCTATTTTTTATTATATTATATACATGCAAAGTATTCTTGCTGCATTATCTAAGTCCATAGTATTAAAATTAATTTTCAAATTTCTGTTAGCCCATGCTTGGCCCCCATTAAATTAAAATTCATATTTTTTTCTCTTCTTATTAATTACACATTTTTCAATAAAATAATGCTACACGTCAATCTAAAAATTCTTCATTTCTTTTTAACTGCACATTCTTTAATAAATTACTATTCTTTTCATTATAATTTAAAATAATGGACCCCAAACAAGGGCTTAATTTGATTTATTTTATTTATATGAGGACTTATAACATATCACGGTATATAGTAGCAAGTACACATGAACATGATTTTATTACTTGTTTTGATATCTAAACAATGATTGTAACTGTTTCTATTGAAGCCAATGAATAAAAGAATGAGTCAAATCTTTTGTATCATTGTCTAGGAATTGTTTTGAACCAAGCTAATTTATGTAAAAGACGAATAGAATTGGATTCTCTCTCTCTCTTTCTCTCCCCCCTTTTTGGCTAAACTTTCGAGCTAACAAGTAAAAAAAATTCTCCAAGTTCACCATGCAAAAAAGTTATTTTACGTCCATGCTCATGTTCCCCATCAAATTGAGCGATGTTCAACCCCTTACTTTATGTGAATCCTTTGACAACCAATTTTTGCTTTGAACGTTCACTATATAAGCTCTGTTACAATGTTAGAGGAAAAAGAGAGAGAGAGAGAGAGAGAAAGAACAAATATAGCTGGTGGAAGGGAAAACATTAATTTTTTAATGATAACTTTGGGTTCACAGAATGGAAAAAACCCTTTTTGTGTAAGTCTCCCGAGGTCTTGTGGATGTATATAAAAGATGAAAAGATAAAAAATACATACCAAAAGATTTTTATTGTGAAGTCCTCCAAGATCTTGCGGGTGAATGAGAGACATATTTTAATTTTATATTAAAAAATTTATATGTTAGAAACTTTTATACAAACATTTTGAATATGATTTTTTAATTTTCTAGTTTGCCCTATTTAATGTGTCTTGTTATCAATAAATATGAACTATTCACATTCAAACTATTAATGTAAGAATATATTAAATTAAAATTCTTTATTTTCATACACATTTACAATTATACATTCATACAATAAAATATTTTATATGTAAATTAATATTTTTTTTTAATCACACATTCTTTAAAAAAAAAAATTAGTATTTAAAAAAATCATTTTCCAATTTCTGCCGTGAAATAGAATTCATTAGTTTGTATTCCGTCATTCCATATTACCAATCCAATGCGATCTTTCATCCATCTCTTTTCCCACGCACTTGTGCTTCGTACCCCCCAATCTTATTGTCCTCGAACACCCCTGAAAAATATGATCCGAACACCCAACAAATTAACAACAAAATCAGACTCTAATGCTCGCAGGGTTGACAAATTGCGAAGAGTCTTGCGCTCAGACTCCACTGGTGAGTAGTGAAAGTAATTAAAATGGAATTTTTTTTTCTTGTTCATTTTTGTAACAAAATTGAATTTGTTTATGCAGAGGGTTGGGACAAATGTTGGGAACAAGGATTGACGCCTTGGGATTTGGGGCAGCCCACCCCAGTTCTCGTGCATCTTTGCAACACCAGTTCCCTTCCGAAGGGCAGGGCTCTCGTTCCTGGTTGTGGCAGTGTAAGCATTTACTGTATTACCTTATGCCCTTGCAGAATTATAATGTAAATTCGACATGCGTATATGGATTTTTATTTTTTAATCCTTTTTTTACCATTTTTATTTTCTTGGGTTATTATCGGCATTTTTTTTTTTGGTTTTTCGCTGAGAGTGAGATTTGACGGAGAAATGATGACTCCAAATTTAGCTGTTCATTCACGTGTTACACCCTGCGATTTACTTGTTTTACATTTTTGGGGGCAATAGTACAAGTGTTCAATGAGTTAGGTTTACAAAAATGGTTTGCAAGAGCAGATATTCTATTCAGAGAGTTGTATTATGTACCTTAGCCTATGTACCTTGCTCCAGTGTTTACAAAGCTTTCTGCAATAATGATTTTCTTCTACTTCGGAATCAGGAGAAGCCATGCCTAGAGCTTGATTTATAGAAGATGGAGGAAAAGTAAATTCTGTTTAATAAGATAATAGTGATTACATCTCTATACAAACTTCTAGCTTGAGAAAATTCCCATTCTTTGTTCAGTTGGCTTTAAAAAATAATTAGAGTAAAGATTGCAAAGTTGTTCTCTAGCTGAACTGTACAATTGTATTTTCTATCCAGCCAGGAAAAGAACACACGAAGGCTCATTATCTTGAAAAGTTGGATAAATGAATGAAGTCGTAGTCAAGTTAAGAACTCGACGTCATATTTTTTAGCTGATAGATGTTCACTTGCTTGTGGCAAAAAGTTTCTTTTGTACTACGAGATTTCTAGCAAACCTATTACATGGAGATACAAAAAAACAATGTTTCATTTGATTTCCGTAGCTGCAAATGATGTTCCATTGTTTAACTCTTTTACCAACTCACTGTCACATGGAAATTGTCACCTCAAGTCCCATATGGTCAATGGTACATTGACAGTCTGATATAGGATACCACAAATAGAAGTTCCTTCTGGTGAAAATAATGTATTTAATTGTTGTTATTACTTCATTGATATTGCTTGTGACTGTAATTTTCCTCCATCTTGTTTTGGAACTTTTTATTTTCTTTCATATTTTATTATGTAAGACCATAATGAAAATGCAATTTTTGTCTCCATTTCTTCTTTATATTTGGCTTGGGAAATGAAATCATGAAATGTACAGGGCTATGATGTGATGGCAGTTGCATGCCCTGAACGCTATGTTGTAGGTGTGGACATATCGGATAATGCCATACAGAAAGCCAAAGAGGTAAGAGCCAGTTTTAGCGATTGACATCAATTTTTTCTTTCAAAGCTCAAAGTTTTTTTTAAAGAGGAATAATGAGAGGATAGATAGTTTTGCGTTACAAACTTAAAAGACAACTGCAAGTTCTTGATTAGTAATAGTTCTATTTAGCACGTGATTGTCTATCTAATCAGTTAAAAAAATGATTTTCGAAGAATGATATATTCCAAGCTGTGTCTAAGATCTCTTGAATTTTACATGCCTAACAACTCAACCGTGTAAGGACCAAATTTAGCTGAAATATTTCCAGTTATTTTCTTTGAAAGGCTTGGGTACTTCAAGTTTGTAAAGCAAGCAAATTTTCTCATGCCACGTTTTGATGTCAATGTTGTGTTTATGCGCTAGTAACTTTTTGTTGCATTTAATTTTCATAATTGGAAGCATACCCACGGCTTCTTCTAATAAATTTTTTATAATATACTCGTATATCTCAGTAATTTTGCTTTTTGACAATTGTTACACAACCTTATTTTAAGATATACTGGAAATGCTTGTATACTTTAAAATTGCATGTAAATTTGTGACACCTCCTATTTCTTTATTCACTAAGAACAGGTCTTTTAGTCCTTGACTGTCTTTCCTCAGTTAAACATATCTGATTCAGGCAAAGCTTGCATCTAATTGTAATTAGGTAGCATATAAGGATGCTAGTACCTTGATATGTTGTAACACGCTATATTTTCATAAACCTTAGTGTTACCAAAAACTTACTTTTCTTTGTATTAAAGGCGAAACGATAAAATAAAATTCTTTAGTTAAAAAAAATTATAACTGGAGCATTCATAACTTAAATTAAATCATGTAAATTGTATCTTTAAAAATAAATATAATCAACTAACTAATCAAATAACATGTATTAAAACACATTAAACTAACTAATAAATTTCAAGACTGAAAAATTTAATGTTTATTTTTCCTTTTTTTCTGATCTACTTCGTAACTCGCATCACTATCCTGCCACAGATCCGACGACCCGTATTAACCTGTAAAATTATTGTAGAATACCTAATAAAATACGTGCAATTTTCATAAACAATCTTATAACAATAAAATCTTCATACCACTCTTTTATTATGGAGTATATCAGTGACCAAGCATTATACTCATCTTAGGTTATCTTAAATTTCCATAGGATTTCATCTCTTTTTCTAAAAAGCCCGAAAGTTCACTGGTAATTCATGCATATTTAATTAAATATAATAGTATATGAAAACAAACCACTTGTACAAAATTATCTTACCTCGTTATTGAAAGGTTGAAACAAATAAAATCTTGCATGTAAAAAAAAATCTCCTATTATTTTTCTATACTTTTTTCTGTCCTCTCTTTATCATGTCTCTCTTTATTTTTTATGGTGAAATAATGGGAATTCTTGTAGTATTTATAGTTGAAATGCTCAATTGAGTTTTTATACAACTAGAATTGAAAAATTGTATAATACAAGAAATTTGGATAAGAATTGGTTTCAAATAATAGAATTATGATTATTATTAATCTTTATCAAATTAAGATTACGATTAAACTCTATCCAAATCACAAAAAGAGAATTTTTTTTTTTTTAAAAGTCAAAATCAAATTTCAATTAACATTTATCCTAATCAAATGAATAATTATCAACACATATGGCTAGGCTAAAAAGGAGGAAAACGGGTTTTAGATTATATTTCAAATTCTTTTAAAATTTCATTTAACATTATATTCTTTTAATCGGATTTAATCTGATCTGATTTTATCCAAAACAACTTTTTCTTGAATCAAAGACTTCTAATTAATTACAACCTACACAATGAGTCCAATATCAATATAAATATGCTCGCTCTGTCAAAATTTAATTATTTGGGCAAAATAAATTTGAGTTTAATACTATTTAACTATAGTCTCTCGACATTTCAATATTATCAATATGATTAGGTCAAAATCCTTACCGTTAAATAATTCTATACTATAAAATTTTGAGACGTTACATATGTTGAATGAATTTTGTTGTTTTGATAATGTGAATACTGATATCTGGTTCATATAATAGAAAGGTACACTTGATAACTGCCATAGTGCAGTAATCGCATTGGTCTATAACAAGATGTTTGGAACTTATGTTGAGCAGGCATTAGGTTCTATAGACTTAAATACTTCCTACCTGCTATGTTGATATTATGCATTTTTTTTTTCGTTATAAAGTTCTTTTGAAATTTTACTTGTATGTCAAGGCAGTTGTCTTCGCGGTCTCCAAATTCAGACCATTTCACATTCTTAAAGACAGATTTTTTCACTTGGCAACCAGCTGAGTTGTTTGATCTCATTTTTGACTACACGTAAGTGTGAGTTGGGGTGAGTTAAATTATCCTACTTGAAGGCCCCATTTGTCTTGATAAGGTTGTGATGTGATCTTCAGGTTCTTTTGTGCCATTGAACCAGATTTGAGAGCAGTCTGGGCTTGCAAAATTCGAGAATTGCTAAAACCAGATGGGGAGCTTATAACACTAATATATCCGGTTAGCCAAAAGATCTTAGTATATTTTCTGTATTTTTTTACTTTTCATATGTTCCTATTTACTATTTTTGCTATGCTATTACACGAGAAAACTCTAGACATGATATTGAAAGACTTTTCTTTTCTTTCAAATTCTCATTTTTGAGTCCTTTGATGCTCGGACTCTTCAAAATGGATGAAGTATTCGTGTTGATAAGACACGATATAGGAATGGGTATGGCATATGTTTCAGATCCTCCAAGTTTCAATTGGACCTTCGCCATTTTTGCTTCTTTCTCTTTATTTATTTATTTATTATTTTTTTTCCCCTTCCCTGTTTTTGCTCTATAAACCTAGTGTTGCTTCCAAGAGGGTGGAGGAAGGTGGCGGCGCTAGGTTTTCTCCTTTCTCTTTTTCTTCTTTCTTTCCCATTTTTTTTCTTTCTTTTCCTCTCTGTATCGATGATTTAGGGATTTCTTTGTATAAAATAAAAAATAGTTCCATATGGCGCTACTTAGTATTCCGCTAAGTCCAAAATTGCAATCAAGCCCCTCATTTTCTATTTTATATAACATTTAGTAATTAGCTTTTCATAATTGAAAACTAAATCCTCAATAGTCATTTCTTTTGTTGTGAACAATTGGCATCATGGGTTAGTAAAATTAATTGAAGTTTGAAAGCCATATCAACGTACCCGTGTTCGAAATTTGAACTCTTTCTAGCCATATCCTTTTATTCTATATTTTAGAGATAAAAGATTCAACACTTAGATACGTATCCGTACCTGAGTCGAAGCATCACAACTTGAATCCATGTTCTTGAAAGATTTAAATTTATTTAAAGCACCATACATGTAGAAAATGAAGGCTCCGCTAATCCAAGTTGGTATCATAAGCTAATACATTTATGTGCTTTAAAGTTTCAATATGTAGATATTACAGTTATAGCATTGACTAGAATCTGCAAGATTTGTTCTGTATTGGGTGCCTAGTGACTCCAACTCTTATGTAAACATGATTTGGGATGTCGACCTAGAGACGTCAATAAGTAGTTTATCATGCATTATTACACATTCAAAGAGATTTTGGGAAGAGATAAGAGGTAAGAAACACGAATATTGATTCCAGTACTCGAATATTTAATCCAAGATTTAATTGGATGATGTTGATTCTCCAATGTTTCTTTTGTTTTGTTCTTCTTAACATTGTAGGCTAGATTACTTTTGTTAGGAGAACGATAAATCGTATAATATGAGTTTTGAATCTTTAGTTTTACTTATTTGACATTGAAAACAAATTTTTGGATATTGAATGGTTTATATGAATTTTTTTTTCTCTACAATTATTGCACGGTAGTTGCGTGAATGTGATGTCTTATTTTATGCATTCAAAAGAAGGGAAATAGGTTCGACAAGATATAAATCATCATATGGTACGATAGGGGTAGAGATATACCGCTATGCCTTATGTGAATCTTGAAGTGTTCATAAAAATTCATGCATTTTTGTATGCTTGCATCCTTCATAGAAATATAGTCGGATCTTGTATGAAAATATGTTTGACATTACTCGAAAGAGATTGTTGAATAAAATAAAAACAGTGATTCATCAAAATTCAATTGTGTTGTCAAAGTGTAGAATTTAGGTTAAAAAGGATTATTACATGGAAATTCGACATCCTAGTTCATTTATCATTCATTAGAATCAACAACTTCATTTAACATAATTTGCATTTAATTTAGTTAATTCATTCATAATTGCATATGCAGCTTATTTTAGTTATAATTTCATCACAACAAACATATCTTATTATTTGTTTCGATTAAGGTTGCGATATCTAAAATCGAACCAAATCAATCTCTGTGGGACGATATTTGGATATTCATCCACTTTATTACTTGCTAACGAACTATACATTTGCGGTGGTTTCAATTCGAAAGATATTTTTGTAAACAACCTTTTTTTATTACTCTTGAGTAATGTTAAACCTATTCTTACATGATACCGGGCTATATTTCTATGATAGATGCGAATATTTAAAAATGCATTAAAAATTTATGAATACTTAAACATCACGTAAAGTATAGCTGTATATTTCTATCCCCTATCAGATTCTACGACAATTGACACTATCTAACTTATTTTCTATCTTTCGATGGTAAAACAAGCTTCAAAACTTATACAATTATTGTGCATATAATTGTAGAGAAAATTAAGTCATTGTCAATCATTCAAGAATTGAAAACGTGTTTTAAATGTAGAAAATAAATAAAATCAAAAAGTAAAGATTAATGATACAAGATTCATCATAATTCTAGCACAAAAATTATTAAGTTCCTCATAATATCGAAATTAAACACGTAAAAGTGAAACGACACCACCAAAAATTGACATAATGTGTGTAGTATCCATGATTTTGTGTTGTCATTTTCTTCCTTTTTTTTTCTATTTTTAAGCTGGCTTCTGCATGTGCACCTTTTCTCTTTTTCAAATACTGGTAGCCCTTGTGTGTATTTTTCCTTTACTTTCAGTCGCTAATGTTATCTTCAATTTCGTGCATACTTTCCTTCAATTTTTTGGCTCCGTTGTCAGAGATTGAGTTTTAATTTGATTTTATTTACCTTGACATGATGGAGGAAGAGAGACTACCTCGGGTACTCAGTGATAATAAGACAGTTATCAAATGATTTATCGGATAGTCTATTGTAGATATCGAATGGTCTCTTGGGAAGTTCCCCAAATGGGACAGTGATGCCTGAGCTCTTACAAATCCTACTGATCAGGCTCAAAAATATTAGAGAACGGTAATGGTCTCTCCAAACACCCTGAGAGTGAATCTGTTCATTAATGAAGGTGGCTAAGTCAATCTTTTGACCCCCTCACCAAGTGGTAGATGAATTTGGCTTTAGGAGCGTTGAATGTGGTCCGATATGAGGTTGGCTCAATGTTGTGGCAGATAAACCACCACAAGATAGCTATGGAAGATGTAAGCTCAATTTGATGCTGCTCATCAGTCTGCAGTGGCCAAGCATTCTCTCCCAAGCAACACCTCCCCTACCTCATTCCAAGGGGAGTCACCGGGAATTGGGACAACATTATCCCAAATTAGTTGATAGTATTCATGTATTACCTCAGTGAAAACATAATCCACTTATCTTTACCCATGTTTGATATTGATGCACTGACCCTAGGATATCTATCTCGCTGTTGAAATTCGCATAAATTCTAGAACTATTACCTCATATACTGGGTGTGGTTTCGCTACTACCTTGTCCCATCTACAGTTTTGAACTAGTGTCACCAACTCAAATCTCGAAAAATCTTTGAGTTTCATTGGCCTCTCTGCGAGTAATGCCCAATGGCTAACTATATAGGAGTATTTGGATGTGGTGTCTTGATTCAAAAATCGCTCTTTACCCCTTTCAGGTGCCCCGAGTACGAATGGTGCTAGAAGTGGATGGGACTTTCTCCTTTCGTTCAGCAATTCGCTTAGAAGACATCCTACAATCATGAAAAATGAAAGAATTAGTCCATTTGTGATACAAAAACGAATGTTATGTCACTTGAAGGTAAGATAACAGTATGAGTATCCAAATCCCCCAAACTTATTTCAAAACGTAGGCATATATAATGCTAACAGTTAATGAATTCGAGTAAAAAAACCAACAAAGCAAAAGTTGAGGTAATGACGCTGTGCTCGATGAAATGTGTAGTGAAGTAGGGTTATTATCTAAAAAATCAAAGTGTGGCTCCCTAACCCGATATTAACCAAGGAATTTCACCTCTGGGTAACGTCGAGACAAATCGAAATATCCCCGAGCGATCTTTGAGCAAATAAAAGAGTTCATATTGTTCTTACACATTCAAATTTGAGGTCAAATGTACTTCGTTTCGGTTAGAAAACTGAGGGACGAAGCGAGGGATGTGAGGTGACTTGTGCCTAACCATGTCGTGCCTGTGTGTGCCAAATTGGGTGTAGGTGTTTATGTATCCAATTTTGATGACTTTTTGTGCTAAATGCAACCCCAAATTGATATATATCCACCCAATTTCAAGTTGAGCCCGAACTAGACTTAATTCCACGCTGGCATTTTGTTAAACATCTTGTGGTCATGTTATTGTTTTCTAAACCTTGCAAGGACTTGGGTTTTATTCTTACCTCAATCTTCCCAATTCAAAAAACAATCACAAACTCCATCCTCTACTTAATTCCTTTACTCCATCTCATACACACAATGTATGGATTACATTGAAGTTACCTTATTTTGGAAAGAAAAACAATAGAAGAGATGACATACCTTTAAGTCCGCTTGCTTAGATTGTGGGTTTTTGAACAATTAAATGTAAAGCTTAATGATAGATTGAGTGAGTTGAGTGATGATTTGGGGAGATTGAAGTGGAAGAGGGAGGTGAGTAGCCTTGTGCTGTGGGAGTGCCGTGCGTGCTAGGGAGTTTGATAAGTGTCGTGTGTTCTTGTGTGTGTTGGTTTTAAAATCTATTGATTTTTTATTTTTTTATTATTCTATGCAACCGTATCATAGAGTAATATCATGCGGTCGCATAGAACAAACTTCTAGGGTGCTGGAATTATATGTTTCACTCATTTGTGATCGCATATTGGATAAGTCTATGCGATTGCATATTACATGACTGATCATTCTCCTAGCACAAAATAATCTAGCGTAGCATGTCATGAAGAAGAAAACAAAAGAAATAATGAAGAATCGACATCACCCAATTGAATCTTCGAATTTTGGAATCGATTTTCGTGTTTCTTGCCTCCTCCCCTTCTAAATTTTTTAATGTGTTATAATGCGTGGTAAAATACTTATGGACGACCTTAGGTATTTAAAGGACGTCCAAATCATGTTTTCATTAGAATTGGGGTCATATAAGGAAACTAGAATTTTTCCGTCGAAAATGTACTATGCTATAGCATAGCACAAACTCATGCTATAGCATAGCTCAATGAAATTCAACCCTTGTATTCACTGAATCTGACCATGCGACTGCATGGTATATTACATTATGCGACCGCCTAGTGTAAATGAAAATTCAAAAGTTGTGTTTTAGTTCCTAAATTCCGTTTTCTCGTTTCTTGGTATCTTTTCTCGCTTCTTCTTCCAACTCTTCATTCCTTTGCTCAATTGGTTTTTGACTCTTTCATATTTTCGTTTGTTCTTCCATGTCATCTTTCCGCTATGTGCACTTTTGTCCTCGAACTTTAATTTTCTTCAATTCGAGTGCTTTTCATTTGTTTTTCCTAAATTCCACCACATCCATCAATTTTGTCATGTAAAACATAATTTATATAGAATTAAGCCATATTCCTACATTTTTGCCAATAAATATCCATGTTTTGTAAAACACATTTATCATCTAGTGTAAAAAATAATGGTCTAATTAGTTCCTTGTTTTTTTTTTTTTTTTTTTTTTTTTTTTTTTTTTTTTAATATACATTGTTGTTTGCAGATTGATAATCACGAGGGTGGGCCTCCATATAGAGTATCAGTTTCCGAGTAATTGTTACCTTTATAAGCCTTCATGTTCATTTAATATTTATCAAATATTTTTTAGGAAATTCTCATCTGACTTTCAGTTTAAGTTGCTGCACTACTAACTATTTTAACTATTCATAGCTATGAAGAAGTGCTGCATCCTGTTGGGTTTAGAGCAATATCTATTGTGGAAAATCACATGGCTATTGCACCTCGTAGGGTAGGTGGCATATCTATTGAAAAATCAATTATATATGCATGTTTATCTCTTGGGTAACTGAATTTTAACATCATGTATTTTTAATTCTGATTTTGGTAGCCAAAAAACTTATTCATGATAGTTCTCTTATAACGTTAAAGGATTGTTACAAGTATAATATTCTTATGTGTAACCACTATATATTTGTGGGTGGGCATGTGTTGTTCTTGTCTGTTATGCACAAACGAGAAAATGAGTGCAATTTCTCCAACTAACGGCATGGTGACTCCGTCATTTCTGGAGCTTCTTAATTTTATATCAGAATTAGCAGTTTTTCTCCACTGGGTTGGTTACTGTCTGTTCCTTTTGCAATTCTGTCCTCACATTCTTCTTTTTAGCTTTCTCCGACCCTATTAGATTTGCCTTATATCTTCTCTTTAGCTTTCATACTGCTGCACTATTTTTGTGTTCTTGAGCTTCAGCTTGTTCTCTCTCCAAAAAGAGCTGCTAAAAATTTTGTGCTTCAGATTGAGACCTTACTCTAGTAGGTATAGAATGGTCCTGTTCTCACCTTTAAATTTGATTATGAAGTTGGTTTCTTTCCCTACTATATTTCTATTTAATGCTCCAATTCGCATAGTATGATATGGTAGATCATTTTCCTCATTTTTTATGGGAATATCTGTTTCTGTAGTAGACTCATTTTGCTTTTATTGGCTTCTTAGTCTTTGGGTTTGATTAGTTTGACTAAGGTGTGAAGAAAATAAATTATATAGGTTAAAAGCATGTTGGTTTTTGTTTCAAATACTCGACTATGAATTGTAGGGTGGCATGTTTCTCACTTAGTGACCTTCTAGATAATGGGCAATCCATCAATCCCAATTTTCATATAGCTCATTCTTTGCTGCCCGGCAAAGATTTATAAGAATTAATGAGACCTCGTATAAATTTCAATATCTTATCTTGTGTCCATGACATACTGATATAAGAAATCGTGCTGAAGTCCCGAGGAGCTGCACACGCATAAAATGTAATCAATCACGTGCATAGCTCTGCATTTTGACTAGACAAAGATCTCTTAGGGAGTGATATCTTAGATGGTTAAGAGAAATTGGTGATTCTAAGACACGAATATAATATTTGTATGGCTTTGACATGCAAAACTATATATATGTCTGGTTTAGTTGCTGATTTCTTGACAAACTAGATGTTCGTGGTTACTTGAAGACTTTGGAAAATGTTTATATGAATTGGTTAAACTTTTGATTCCGTGTGTTCTTGTGTGATGTTTCTTGTCCTACTACTTGTCGTCCCCGTCCCCGTCCCCAACTTGTATTTTGTGGCGGGGGTGTAAAATTGTTATAGGTACATTGTAGAATCTGGTAAGAGTTGTCGTAATTGTATTGCAGGGACGAGAGAAGCTGGGGAGATGGAAAAGGTTCGTCAGCAAGTCCTTGATGTGATAATTCACATCAAGACTTAGCCTAAGATGGCAAGTCAATATTCACATTCTGCACGTCCGCGCACAATTATACTTCGTGGGGAACATATTCTTTTCGATTACTATATGATCCAACATTATTACATTATTCATTGTCTTGATTATTGATCTATTCTTACCTAGTGATTATTATATTACTTGATGTTTCGAAGATTAACGTGTATGTAACTTGTATTGAATGACATCTTTTATATACTTGATTAAAAGACTTACCGCTCCCGTTTGGCCTCCATTTTCTGAAAATGGAAATGGATGGAATAATTTTTTTTTGAAAAATGAGTTGTTGAAAAACAAAGAAAAGTTTTCGATTTGCATGTAATATTATTTTATGGAAGATTCCGTGGTTGAAAATAGGAAAGAGAAAAATGGAATGTAATGAAATTTAATGGGGGCCAAACGGAAGCACTGTGTAATGATCACAATTAATTATGAATAGCATTACTCTTTATCTGAAAAAAGTAAAGTTGCAAAGTTTGGCAGTTGAAAGTCTATCGAATGGAATGTCAATTGTTGATAAACACTTAATGAAAAAGTGTTAAAAAAAAAGTTCACAAAATTAATTTTGAAAAATTAGGGTCAGGCTCTGATAGCTTTTATTTAGTTTGGTTTTGGATTGAGGTTTTATTCCTTATCCTAAATATATGAATTTGAGACGTCACAGGTTAGAAATCATCAATGTGAATCTTAAAATTGCATGTGACTTTCATAAGATTTAAAATTGAAAGTTGTCAAATTACTTAACCTCCAATAATAAATAACGTGCGATTTTAACGTGATGGTCCTTACACATGCAAATTCACATAATTAAATAAATTAGGAAATAAAATATTAGGAACCTGTTTGAACCACTTTACTTGGAAAAAATACATTCTGAAACGGTGATTGGACATTATTTTAATTATACATTCTTCAATGAAATATTATTACACGCAAATTTAATTTTTTTATTATTTTATTATTTTTAAACCACATTTTCATCAATAGAATATTCGAAAATGTATTTTTATGAAAATAATATCGCTCAAACAAGGGCTAATTTTCAAGTTTAATGACCTCAATGCTTCATGACTATTCTAATCCTACTTTTTCCCTAAAAAATGTATTATGAAAACATAATCCTAAATTGGGTCCGCCAGTGTTAAAGCTCATCAGTGGTCACAAGAGGTCACTTGTTTACTTATAAGTAATTCTTTCCTCAAAAAAAGTGAAACATCATATGATTACCTAGGAAAATTTGAACATTCTTGTCCGTAAACTGCCAGCATCTTTCGCCTCTCCAACAACTTCCCTCTCTTTGCTCTAACGCTCCCTCTCTATTAGTTTCTCATTCATATATTTTTGACTTTTTCTCTCTCAATTTCTTCAATCTCACTTTCCCTTAATATCAAGAAAATAAACATGTAATTGTATTCATAATCCTAAACGATGGATGAACATTTGGAAGAAGATGACAGGACAGTTCTTGCAGGTCTAACTGACGCGCCACCGCATAAGAAAGCGTATTCATACAGCCAGCAGTTGAGAACCGAATCAAGCACCAGCTATAAGCGCCACCAGATACGCAAACACAGCCTTGATGAAACTGAAATTTTGAGCAGCCAACCCAGCAATGATTATTCTTCTGATGAAGAAGATTTTTATCCATATTCTACTACTACCAGCATTAACACCACCGCCAGTGGTGGTGGTTGCGGCAGCTGCAGAATGGGAATTGCAAGCGGATCGATGAGCGATCACCACGAGGATTACCACCTTAATTTGAGCCAGAAAATTAATGATTTGGGATTGGGAGATGGTGGTGCATTGGATGAATCTCGTGATCTTCCCCAGCTGCCATTGCCGGAGTTTATGGCGGCTGGTGGTGGAGTTGGGATGTTTAAGGTGCCCATCAGGGCGGCGGTGCACCCTGCGCGGCCGTCCTGTCTTGAGCTTAGGCCTCACCCTCTAAGAGAAACACAGGTAGCATAAATAAAATCAAATGGCTTGGTGCATATGAACAGGCTCCGCCACTCCATGTGTGCATGATTTTATGTCGAATAACTGAGATTTCAATGCGATGAACTGCAGAGAATTTTGTTTCCTGCATGTGTTTCTATTCAATATTCTAAAGTTTTTGAATATTCTTACATTATTGAATGTCGATTACTGTCTTTAGGAAATGAAATAGAATCCCTTAACCTTTTGCAGGGTGGAAAGTTTTTGAGGACGATAGTTTGTACTGAAACTCAATTGTGGGCAGGACAAGAATCCGGAGTTAGAGTGTGGAATTTATCAGATGCATACTTACCTGGGACTGGGATAGGGGGAAGGGCTCGAAGAGGGGACGAGGATGCTGCTCCATTTCACGAAGCAGTCAATACATCACCAACTATATGTATGAAGGTTGATCTCGGGAGTAAGTTAATTTGGAGCGGTCACAAGGATGGTAAGATAAGGTCCTGGAAAATGGACCAAAATTATTCGATCGATGCTCCTTTCAAGGAAGGCCTCTCTTGGCAGGCACATCGAGGTCCAGTACTTTCCTTGGCAGTTTCTTCTTATGGTAACTCCTTTTCACCTCGGCATACACAATGAAAATGTTGCTGCGTTATTTTGCCAATCATGATACAGTGCCAGAATCATTGACATAATGCCATATGAATTCTATCATTGGACTCTTTAAAATAAAGTCATCTTCTCTATCATATCATTTTCCGCCACTGCTTCTGTCACCATTCATTTGGCAAAGCAGCATAATTCTTATTTTTATTCATGTTTACTAACATCTTCCGAATGATTTAACTATACTGTCGTCATCTGCAATTTTATGGCCTGGATCCAGGTGATCTATGGACAGGTTCTGAGGGTGGATTTATAAAGGTCTGGCCGTGGGAATCTATTGAAAAATCTCTATCGCTATCAGCAGAGGAAAGACGCATGGCTGCTTTATTGGTGGAGCGGTCATCCATTGATCTCAGAAGCCAAGTTACTGTTAATGGTGTTTGTAATATTTCATCTTCGGATGTTAAGTGTCTCTTGTCTGATAATGTCAGAGCCAAAATCTGGGCAGCTGGATCTTTATCCTTCTCATTATGGTACGTTTGTCGCTTCAAGTAGTCTCCACTCACTGATATACTTCAACAATTATGCTTAAACCTTATTTTCTTCCTATTTACTTGGTTGGTGAAAATTAAAATACTGGATTACAATCTTAATGGTTGAGAAAATGCAGGGATGCTCGTACAAGGGAACTTCTGAAAGTATTTAATATGGATGGACAGATAGAGAACCGTGTTGACATGTCATCAGTTCAAGAACAAGCAGTTGACGATGAGATGAATGTTAAGTTTGTTGCCAAATCCAAAAAGGAGAAATCCCAAAGTAGTTTTCTGCAGCGGTCACGAAATGCTATAATGGGTGCTGCAGATGCTGTCCGTCGAGTTGCAACAAGGGGCGCGGGGGCTTTCGTTGAAGATACTAAAAGAACAGAAGCAATAGTGCTTGCTGAAGATGGAATGATTTGGTGTGGATGCTCAAATGGACTTTTAGTCCAATGGGATGGAAACGGAAATCGCTTGCAAGAAATGAATCGTCTTTCCAATAGCGTTCTATGTTTTTGCACTCATGGGTCGAGAATATGGGTTGGCTATGCAAGTGGCATGGTTCAAGTCTTGGATATCGAAGGAAATTTAATTGCCGGTTGGGTTGCTCACAATGGCCCTGTTATAAAATTAGTAATTGGAAATGGTTACATTTTCAGCTTGGCATCTCATGGCGGTATACGTGGTTGGAATATCTCTTCTCCCGGACCTATTGATAGCATTTTAGGTCCTGCATTAGCCGAGAAAAAAGACACGTACATGAGATTTAAGAACATCAAAATTTTAGTAGGCACATGGAATGTTGGTCAAGGAAGAGCCACTCATGATGCTCTTATGTCATGGTTAGGTTCTGCTGTAAAAGATGTTGACATTGTTGTTGTTGGGTTACAAGAAGTGGAAATGGGTGCAGGCTTCCTTGCAATGTCTGCAGCAAAAGAAACTGTAAGCTGTCAATAGACTTCCTATACATATTTCATACGTAAATCTTGGGATGCTGATTATTTTCTATTATTCGTTTATCGTGCTTTCTTAAAGCTGTTGCAATCCATTGTAGGTAGGACTTGAAGGAAGTTCTGTCGGGCAATGGTGGCAGGACCATATTGGCAAGGCTTTGGATGAAGGGTCGACTTTTGAGCGCACAGGGTCCAGGCAACTTGCTGCCTTACTCATAGCTATCTGGTAAGGTTTTTATTGGAAGTATCTATTTCCAATTATTTTTTGGTAGCAAATCATACCATATGATATAAATCTCTCAGAGTCTAGAAAATTTTATTTTTCCAGCTACCAATATATTTCGACTTAACGGGATTCTACTTAATTAAATTTTGTTTTGTCGATTGTTTGATGATTACCTGTGTCCCAGGGTGAGAAAGGCTCTTAGAACACACGTAGGAGACCTCGATGTTGGAGCAGTTGCATGTGGTTTAGGACGTGCAATTGGTAATAAGGTAAGATTATTGAACAAAAGCACTTTTCATTATAGATACTATAAAAATGTTCATTGTGAATTTGGTGCTATTCGGCTAAATGTCCAAGAATGTTGTTGTGCAATAACCATTATAGTCCCATTCATCTGATAATGCTTAAATTTCATCAAAAAATTGCTGGTTCAGCAATATGATCGGATAATATTTGCATGTAGGGTGGTGTAGGTTTGAGGTTGAGAGTATATGATCGGATAATGTGTTTCGTAAATTGCCACTTTGCTGCACATTTGGAAGCCGTTAATCGCAGGAATGCGGATTTTAATCATATATTTCGAACAATGACTTTCACTCGCTCGACTAACCTCCTTCAAGGTGCTGCTGGTATGCTGCCATACCTGTTCTTATCTTGCTCTCTTGTCTTCTCCACATATTTATTCTGGCTGCTTTATTATTCTGGCTTCCCATGGATCCTCTCTATTGCAGCTGGCGTCTCGTCTTCTTCACAGATGCTTCGTGGTACAAATGTACGTATACTATAATTCGTAACTGAGTTAGGCATTTTCGTTTCATTTTCTTAATTTGAGTAAGGATGGTCCTTTTTGTATAGGCTGTTCCAATTAAACCTGATGAAGGGAAGCCTGATCTTGCTGAAGCTGATCTGATCATCTTCACTGGTGATTTCAATTATCGACTTTTTGGCATAACTTACGATGAAGCGAGGGATTTTGTTTCCCAACGATGCTTTGATTGGCTTCGAGAGAAAGATCAGCTGAGGGCAGAAATGAAAGCTGGTAAAGTTTTCCAAGGAATGCGAGAGGCACTCATCAGATTTCCTCCAACATACAAGTTTGAAAAAGGAAAACCAGGTTTAGGAGGTAATGTTAAATCATTCATAACATAATATTGGATTTAAGTATTGATTCAAAGTACTAAATACCAAAATACTTGCTTATGATTAGGCTATGATTCGGGTGAGAAGAAACGAATCCCTGCTTGGTGCGATAGAGTACTATATCGAGATAATCGGGGAACTCAAACAGAAGGATGCAGCGTAGAGTGCCCTGTAGTTGCTTCCATAGTACAGTGCGTGAGATGATTTTTTTTCTTGTCTTTTGTTCTGTAATTTTGTATTTATGCCTTTCACTCTACACTATATCACAGATACGAGGCTCGCATGGATGTGACTGAAAGTGATCATAAACCTGTACGCTGCAAGTTAAACGTGGACATTGCCCATGTTGACAGATCAGTGAGGAGACAAGAGTTTGGAAAAATACTCAAGTCCAATGGCGAAATCAGGGCTTGCCTTGAAGCACTATGCTTCGTGCCAGAAACAACTATTAATATAGACCAAATAGTGCTCCAGAACCAAGACAATTACAGTTTGAAGATCACCAACAAGAGTGGAGAAGACTTGGCCTTTTTCCAAATCTTGTGTGAAGGTCAGTTCACCATAAAGGAGGACAAACCAGCCTCTGATTATTGCCCCAGAGGTTCACTTGGTTTTCCCCGTTGGCTTGAGGTAGTTTCTGATTCCTCATTGCAAGATTTATTTGTGTCAATATTAAGCTTACTTAAAGCTATGACTTTACAAGTTCCATTTATGTAAATATTAAGCCTACTTTTGGATTTAGGTCACACCTGCAGCTGGCATGATAAAACCTGATGAAGTTGCTGAGATATCTGTACGTCACGAAGAGTTCTATAAACTGGACGAGCGTGTTGATGGGATTCCACAAAGCTGGTGGTCCGAAGACACTAGAGATAAGGAAGTGATTTTGCTCGTGGTTGTAAAGGGCGGTTGCTCGACCAAAACAAAAACTCATCGAATAAGTGTTTGGCATCGCTTCTCGGGAAGCTCTTGTCGCATTGATCAAAAAGGTAATAATTCAAGATGACACCAAATTAGTTCCAACCATGGATCTGCACTTTGACATGAAAACCGTGCTTCCAAGCATCAAACACACATGTTTAACCTACATAAGTAGATAGTTTCTTCGTGTAAATACTCGTGAACTATCTATGTCTTGAAGCTTGATTTGTGACAAAAGGTTTGGTATAGGCTTCAGATTTATGTCATTTTTTGTAATTTTTAGTGCTGATGAACTTTTCCTCTTTCATTTCTTTCAATTCTTTGATTGAAAAGTGAAGCTTTGTTTCAAGGCAAGTAGTAATTTAGTAGACAATTTTTCACTCCACAGAAAGAAATCCTATCTAATGCCTTTTAACTTCTGGGGATATAGTTACTTGAGTTTCTGTAACTGCTACTTGTATTGCATGAATATTGAGAATTTTATTTTTTCATTGGAAAATTGAAAAGTTTGAGACCAAAGTGTCAAGAAACATAGGTCAAAGACCTCATTGCTACATTATCCAGAGATGGAGGACTACCTCTGTAATTCTCCCTCATATTATCAGTATGGTAAGTTCATGCTGCATACAAGGGCATTATAGGTATGGTAATGACATATTCATAAAAGGGTGCATGGTCCACTAGGAGGGCATCAATGGATTCAAATGGAGGATTAAGTATTAGACCTAGCAAACTGTTCCCACAAATGTGGTTCGACAGGATTGTCATAAGCTCTGTGTGATCCATACTACTGAATGTGCACTAATGATGGTATCATATGCATTTATTATCGTTCTATCTTGTCCAAAGTCTTGTGTGTCCTTTTATCGAGCTTGCTAACCATGTGGGTGGAAGGCTGGTTTGAGGCTCTACGCTCGGGTAAGTTCATGCTGCATACAAGGGCATTATAGGTATGGTAATGACATATTCATAAAAGGGTGCATGGTCCACTAGGAGGGCATTAATGGATTCAAATGGAGGATTAAGTATTAGACCTAGCAAACTGTTCCCACAAATGTGGTTCGACAGGATTGTCATAAGCTCTGTGTGATCCATACTACTGAATGTGCACTAATGATGGTATCATATGCATATATTATCGTTTCTATCTTGTCCAAAGTCTTGTGTGTCCTTTTATCGAGCTTGCTAACCATGTGGGTGGAAGGCTGGTTTGAGGCTCTACGCTCATTGTGGGCTATCCATGGGTGCATATGGACACTCCATCTCAGGTACCTAGATATTCCTTATTTCATTTATGTTACAAAACCTTGTACTTGAAAGGCAATATTGCAACCACCTTACAAACTAAAATAAATGCTAATCGTTTTACTTGGTTTCCAACATTCTTTTTTTCCTCTAACCTCTTCAACTAACCTCTATTTGATACAAGTACAGAGACACACTAATGCCTAGACCGGATTTTGACATCATCAAATGCTATATTTTGAATTGATTATGAGCCCTTTTTACTAATGTTAAAAATTATAGTTATAAGCACATTTCTTAAATGATATTCGGAAAAGCACCATTCAATTATTTTTATATGGGGACAAGAAGATTCATGCATGAAAGTAGAAAGAGATGTCTATAGACTTTTCGTCGCGAAGCAAAATGTGTGTTGAAAACTAAATTTAAATAGCATTTTATTCTAAAACAATTTATAAATTTGGACGCAAAATGACGTTGAAATTAAATCTAAAGATATAGACCATCCCTAATTCAGACTCTGAAGCATGCAGCAAGCATTTAGTCGAGGAAACAAAACAGAGTAACTTCCAAACCAAGTATTTGATCCAAACATAACCAGATGAATCTTTGCCGCTGGAAACATTTCAGAATACAGTGTTGAACAAATCTAGATAACTGGAAAAAAAGAGTAAAACTTAGCATTAAAATAACTTACATTCACAAGTACGATCATTTTCAAAAATATGTAATATCAGTTACAAATTTCAGCCATCTGCTTATACATCTATTTTGCAGAATCCTAGATAGATTTCCACGGAATAATGACTATATTATAATAATCTCTCAGCGTGTTGAACTGAGTGGACAGTCGAAATTGCCGTCCCATACAAGTTCCTGTACTGGTTAGTATTCAGGATGGCAAATATAATCCAGCATCAGCAACTTTACAGAACATAGAGATTACTGCAGCAGTGTAGTAGCCATTCTTTTAACTTTGAAAGGCCTTCCTCATTTGCAAATTCGTCCCTAAACAGCATACATTCTCTTGTGTCGTTCACTGTACATCTCAGGATCTGATACCATGGACATTGAAAACGAACGCGAGAGAGTACTGTTTTTCCTTAAGTTCCTCATCCTTGAATCTTCCAGCCTATGCCGAACTACACAGTAGCACATCGAGCCAATTGTAGTCAGCATTATTGTACTTCCAATAGCTGTTGCATATATGGCAAGCCACCTTTCATGAGGTCCAACTACGATATAGGCAAGAGAAATAAAAGCAATTGAAATGAACAGGCAAGCCGACCACATTAGCTTGTTAATCACAAACATGAGTTGTTTCTTTGCCTTTTGTTCAATCACAACCACTGATGTCTGTACGACGACAACAGCTAGTGAGATGAATAAAGCAAAGCTATCAAATAGAAAGAAAATTATGAAAGCTGCACTTTTCGCTATGTGGGCTTGCCCCAAAGAATACCCTTTTGTTTTCTCCTCGACATATTGACCAGGTACAGTGAATATTGCAGCAAAAGCAACAGTAGCAATAAGGACCGCGACGACAGTAGCAGAATTGATGGCATTATTAAGGCCCTCAATGTGAAGCTTCTTCACTTTCTTTGCAATTTTCCGCACCCGGAAGCCGGTCTGTCGGCTCTGTTGGAGTTGGGACTGGACGTCATGCTTTATATCACTAACAGTCTGCTTGAGTTGTTTTGCAGCACTTTGGGGTTTCCCATGATCTTTAGAATGGATAGCTCCGGCTTCCCTTAAAATGGCTGCAATTTCTGGAGATCCAGACTTCTCAGCAATATCAAGAGGTGTCTCCCCGGCACTATTAGTCGCATTGACATCAATACCCTCAGCAGTTAATAGACATTGTACAATCTGCCATGGCATAGGACCAATTTCAGTGTATTTTTTATTCTTTTCCATTTAAATCTGGCAGTGCTTTGTCATTGACAAAACTCTCTTTCATGGGTAACACTAGAGTTCATGATATGTGCCATGGAAAATTTGGCCTCAGAATAAAACATCATGTACTTAATCAAAGATGCAACGTCATGATATTTAAGAGAAATACATTTTTAAATCACCACAAACTTAATCATCTGGAAGAGTTAGTAACATCAGTACCAAGTACCCTGCTTGTTAATGCATCTATTTTATATGGTATTCGCTCCTAAATGCAACACTTGGTGCACTTGTGCAGGTCATGCTATAATGGAGAGTAAGTTCAATACAAAGTACAAACCTGAGTTCGGCCCTTCTTTGTTGCTATATGTAGTGCAGTATTTCCCTTATTATCTTCCAATCCCAGTACAGAGGGATCAGGTTTTATTAACTCTGTCACGATCTCAACATTTTGTCCCTTGACAGCCATGTGCAGTGCTGTTTGTCCTTTTCTATCAGTCCAAAAGCCTATAGTAGGATCCTTGTTTAACAGTGATTTAAGAGCTTCCAAGTGGCCCATTCTTGCAGCTGTATGAAGCACAGTCTTGCCATTATTTTTTGCAATCTTGGCGAGGTTGGAATCTGTATCCAGAAGCAGATTTACCACATCGATGTGACCCTGAGCAGCAGCTGTATGCAATGCAGTCGAATTCGATGAATCTGTAGTCATGACCAGGTTTGGGAAGAAACGCGAGAGTTCCTTGAGCACATCTGCACCATTTAAGAAACATACTTCAGCAAGACAATAGGCGAAGGAGCAACCAAACTTGATGTATATCCAGATCTCCAAAGTGACATCTTTTTCTTTATGTTTCCCCACCATACTTAAATGTCTACACTCACATATGCTTTTAATCGGGTAGGGACTCCAATTACAAAACCATAACCATCCGGGATCTTTGCATGAGAACAGGATTTGCATAGAAATGTGAAATTGCCGCTTCAATAAGATACATTTTACCAGCGAAAGATGCTAACAACACATTTTTTGACCTTCAAATTACAAGGTAGTAGCCAATATAGTTACATGATCTTTATTAATTCAAGAGTTGAATAAAATTAGGGGCTGTTGTGGACTAACCCCCAAAACTAGCGGCATGTAAAGAAAAACAAAGCCACGGATAATAATGTCGAGTGAAATGCAATTGGATTACTATGACAAGCGAGTGGAATATGCAAGAGGATAGCATATACTTTTGACCCAAAAAAAAAAATAATAAAAAAAAAATAAAACAACTCCAGACAAGTAGAATATATACAGAGTCAAACAACTTCTCCACAGAAAATGTGATACTATATTCTCGCACGAAGCACCAGGAAAACTCAATTAAGAATCATCTAAATTCAATTCATCCAAATTACATAGTGAAAAATGAAAAAGATAAAAAACTCACCAATATGACCCTGCTTAGCAGCCACATGGTATGGATCGTAGCCATTATTGGCTACAATAGAGGCAGTTTCAACATCAGAATGTCTTAAGAACTCTCCAACGATCAAAGCATGTCCATTCTCTGCTGCGATATATAATGGAGTCTCACCCTCTTGATTCTTATTTGACAGCAAATCTTTTATTCCATTATTGATATTCTCAAACTTCTGAAAAATTTCTCTCACCTTCCCCAAATTCCCAGCTCGTGCAGCGAGATGAAGGGGTGAATCCCCACGTTTCCCAGGCGAATCCTTGCTCCTTTTCCTCTCTCCACCAAAACTTATCTGTCTCTCCATTGCTATCCTAAAACTCTTCTGCTTTTCTATTAAACCCCTAAAGCTTTTCTGCTTCTCCATTACGCCGTTGCGAAAACTTTGTTGTTTTTCCATTTTTGGACTCCGAAAACTACTCTGTTTCTCCATTATCGCATAGAAATCTTGAAAAAATCCAAAATCACACTGATAGGATCCCCTGCTGCTGGCCGACAAACTGCCCTGCTGTTGCTACTGATACAGTCCTGTAGATTGGTTAGGAAACAGATGTTGTAAATGATTAAGTAAAACTGAAGATGTACATGTGGAAGTATAACTCTGTATTTGTACTTCTTATTATACTGAAATGATAAAGAACAGAAATGATAAATTCCCAGGTATTCGAGAGGCCTTGGTTCTCTCCCCTATTTTCTCAACATCTCACTCCATACCCTCTCCCAGATCCCCTTATTACATTTATAGAGATTCAACTATACTCCTATTCCCCTTCTACCCCTTTGTTAACTAACTAGCGGAACACTCTAGAATATTGAATGAATAACAAATTTGAACGGAATAATTTGCAAGAGTGATTATTATTGGAGGTGGGGTTCTATCACACACTTCTTAGCTAATGAAAATCCTAACCCCCACCCTTTTAATTTTTCAGTAACTATAATTTTTTCACCATTATCAGGTGCAATTGATGAAAAAACCTCAAACTCTGTATAAAATCAAAGAAAATTCACCTGATTTACATATCAAAAAGCCCCTGACAACAAAGAATAGGAGTTGTTAATTGAGACTCATTCTTAATGAAAACTTGGGAAAAAAACCAACGATAAGATTACCTGGGTTTCTTGTATTGGCACAAAGGTAAAACTTGAACTTCAGCAATCACTCCAAAACTCAAAAGAATCACCTTTTCATTGAACCCACAAAATCCACAAGCTGAAATCAAGAAAATCCAGTTGATTCTGCCTGATTGAAGAACCCTTAAGACTAAAGATTGAGAATTTCTCTGAGAAATAGAGAGCCCCAAAAAAATATCAGGAACAGAAAACACCACCCACTTATAGTATAGAATAATTTACATGGTATAGTTGTTATAAAAACACAATTATTTGAGTAAACAGTAACTTCCTATGCTACTTTAGTTTTTTGTTGGGTTGTGCATATTCATTCTTGCAATTATATTGTAGATATCTTTTCTTTATTGGCTGCCATGGAAGTGCAGAAAAAGGCAGAAACAGGAGGCTGTTGGCACATTGCAATAAGGTAAGGTAAGGTGGGGTCCTCCACAGATAATCAAATTAAAGCAGATTCTTTTCTACTGCTATTTGGAAATCCCATGCTATTATCTTTATTTTATAATTCTACAGCCATATCCTCGAAGCACTAGTTAAACTCTTCGGCTAGTTGCATTCAGGACAATATTTACTTAGGCCATCTCCAACCACAATACCATTGCACCATTTTGCACCATTTTTTGGTGCAAAATTGCTCCAACACAACATCAAACTTTGCACCATTTTGCACCAAAATGGTGCAAGTGTAAAATGCCAATTTTGCCCTTATTTTACATTTCCCAAATAAATTTGTTGAGGGTATTTATGTAATTTGTGCTATATATTTTTTAATAAAATAAATTATTATTATTTTTATTAATATTAATAATTATTTGTGTTTAAAATAAATTTTAAATGTAAGACATAATAATTAATTAATTAATTAAAAGACGAAAATAATTTAAAATACATCAAACACGATTAATTATTTATTTATTTAGTAATTTATGTATTTCTGAAATAATTAAATAAATAATATTTCAAATAAGTAGATTATAAAGAATAAAAAAAGGGAAGAAAATGGTTAAATACTGTTCATTTGGTGTAATTTTTGGTGTAATGGTTGGAGATGAATTTTAGTTTGGTGTAAGATTTGGTGCAAAATTTGGTGCAAAATGGTGCAAAATTTGGTGCTGGGTTGGAGATGGCCTAACCCGTTTGGTAGTCATTTTTTCAAAATGTATTTTTTTCTTTTTTCTTTTCAATCATACATTATTTATTAAAATAATATTACACATAAATAAATAAAAAATTTTATTTTTCAACCACACATTTCACATCAATTTACTATTCTAAAATACATTTTTTTACATAAAAATATTTATCAAGCACCCCCTTATTGTCTTCAATTGAGATTTTGATGGATTTAATTTTAAATTTTAAAATTTAAGCGTTCTTAATTGAAAACTTAATAAAGTTCATTAAAATCTAGGTGTTCTAAATTGAGATTTTAGTGAATTTCAATAATTTTTTTTTTATCTTTATTTATTTATTTATTTTTTAAATTTAGGTATCCTTAATAACTCATGGATTTATAAGTATAGAACTGTGACCCAAATTTCATTAGGAATTAGTGTTTTTGATAAAGAGTCTTTGAAGAAGTCCAAAATATGGATTGGACATGATTTCGAGAAAGACGAGGTGCTCAAGCTCCACATCTGGAGTGATTTGAAGGTTTTTCTCCCAAGACGTAGTGCTTAAGCCTAGGAAATCAGTGCTCGAGTGATATCTTGGCCGCTCACTAGCCACTTGCTAGGACACTCGAGTGGAGGTGTTATCCTCCCAAGAACAGCTTTGCGATTCTGATGAATTTCTTGATTTCTATTTCATCTAAAATACTAGAATTTTTCGCTATTGTAGGTGAAGAAGTGAGTTGTTCTCGTGCATATGAATTTGCATGATGCCCTATAAGGTTTGATTAAATGCCTTCTACTTGAAATTTTAATGAAATCCTTTAAATTTTAGGTATTCTCAATAACACATGAATTATAAGTGTTAAATTGGAACCTAATTCCATCAAGAATTGATATTTTGGCTGAAAAAGTTATTGAAGAAGTCAAAATATGAATTTGATATGGTTTGGAAAGAGATCCACATCTAGGGGCCTAAGCGCCATTTGGAGTGATTTAGAAGTTTTTGTCTTGAGACGTAGTGTTCAAGCATTGCCTTGGTCGATCAAGTGGTGGTATTATCTGCCTAGAAATAGTTTCACAATTTTGATGAGTTTCATGATTCCTATTTCATCCAACACACTAGAATCGAGGTCCTATATATACTCCACGTTTTGTAGTCTCTTCATAACATTAATTAGTAACACATTAGATTTGGTTGAAATGCATCAAATCATTTAACTTGATCTTGATTTTTGATCTAATGAATTCTCCTTTTCTGTCTGCGATTTTTTCTCATTTTTTTATTTTCACATAAAATTTTGGTGTTCTTGTCCGTGTTTGATTTATTTCATTTTGCAATTATCTTGTTTCATTCACAACAATAAGGATTTCATTAACAGAAGAATTTTAAAAAATTTGGATGGATTTTAAACTTAAAAATACATATGCTTTTTTTTTTTTAATTTCATTATTTTTAATGAGATTCTTATGAATTTTTTGAAAATCTAATTTTTTTAAAGGGTGATTATATTACCACTATAATTTTTGCTAGTTAAACCACATTTAAATTGTAGTTAAGCTCCTTGATCTTTGCTTGTTATATCAATTATTTTTTTAATGTTTTTCATCGAATTCTTATATTAAACTTTTCAATAATTAGTACATCTTGTTATTAATGATTATTTATGTGAAAATATTTTATTTCTATGTTTTGAAATGAGGAAAAATATTTTTTTTTGTATTTTTTATTTGTTTATTTTATTTCAAATATGATGAAAAAATAAATTTTTATGCACTATTTTAACGGACTTTTTGTACGTAAACTGTTATCTCAAATATAAGATGTGTTAGCTAATGAAAAGTTTGAAAATTAAAATTGTCATGAAAAATTAATAAGGACATAAATATTATAATGAGTAAAATATTGAGAATCTTAAATGTAATTAAAATGTGGTGTAAAAATAAAAATTATTGTGTGAATATAATTATTCTATTTAAAAATTCATCAGAACCTCAGTACTTTTAATTATTAATAATCATGTAAATGAAAAATGATTTGAATTCAAGTAACGCATTATCTTCGAAAATCGTACAAGTATTGAATCTCGATGAAAAATGATGTAAGAAGAATTGTATGATTATGTTTAACAGAGTTTTAATTTCTAAACGAGATTACTATAAAATTTAAAAAAATAAATTCGGACATTGGAAGGAAAAAAAAAAGTGTCGAATTTACTAATAATAATCATTTACTGTCAAATTTTGGATAAAAATTACCATATCCTTGAGTTTATTATAATTAATTTTTTAGTTATGGTATCCAGCATATATAGATAAATAATCCTGTCAGCCGTCAGATGTAAGATTCTTTTCAACGGTCAACATGGGCTCCTGAATTAGACAAAAATGTTGTTTTCATTTGGCAAATTTACAGAAATACATCAGAGGAAATCCCCCCCGATGGTCGCTGAACTTTGCCAATTTTTCCTTGGAGGTCACTGAACTTCATTTCGTTTCTAAATGGTCACCGAACTTTGCCAAAATTTTCTAGGAGGTCACCGGACTTCACTTCGTCTCTAAATGGTCACCGAACTTTGCAAAAGGCCCCTGGGAGGTCACTGAACTTGTTATTCATGGGGTCCCATTTTGCAAAGTTGAGTGACCTCTAGGGGAATTTCGACAAAGTTCAGTGATCATTTAGGGATAAAGTGAAGTTCAGTGATCTCCTAGGGGATTTTGACAAAGTTCGGTGACTATTTAGGGACGAAGTGAAGTTCGTTGACCTCCTAGGGGAAATTGGCAAAGTTCGGTGACCATTGGGGGGATTTCCTCAATACATTAAGCTCTATTTTGTACTGTCAAAAAATATTGATCAAAACTTAAATCAAAATCAATAATTAATTTTTACCATACATTACATACGATTCACAACTTTTTAATCATACATTTCATCAATTTTTCATATTGTATAATTTTACAAATCTAATACAATGGTAAAAAAACCTATTGAGAATGTACATAAATGAACTTAAATATATAAGAACATTCAGAACGACGATAATACTAAAAAGTTTTTTAAGAGTTGGTTGTTGCTTTCCGTCCGATTCTTAGTCCAATTTGTGGATGGATAACTAATGTATTCCACTTATTTTAAAAAAATAAAAATCTGCAGTCGATTCTAATGCGGAACACAACCCTTGAGATGATTCGAAAAAAGATGAGATGTGTTTACCGATAAAGAAACCCTCAACTTCAATTGGTATTTCTTGATTATGACTTAGGAAAGCCGTAAGGAATATGCACACTTAAAACACCAAAAACATGTGAATCTTATTAACTGTATATATTATTTTTGAGTTTATTATTCTTAGTGATATTGACATGTACCTAAAAGATAAGAAAATAATGCAAGACAAAGACTTCTCCTAAACTAATTGACACTGCAATGTCGATAAGTTGTAAGCTGTGAGGTCAGCTTTGAATTTTCCATACTTGGAGTCAAAAATTATGACACAAATTCGAGGAGTTCAGTAATTTGGGTTGTTTGACCCCATTTTTCTATAAGAATTTATTTTGAAATAGTGTTATGATGGATAATATGTGGTTAAAAAATAATGAAAAGTTATGAATTTACGTGTAATATCATTTTATTAAAAAATGTATAGTTGAAATGTTGTCAAATCACTGTTGAAAAATGTATTTTAATGAAAAAATGGAGCTCAAACGAGGGCTGAGTGATGACANTATAGTTGAAATGTTGTCAAATCACTGTTGAAAAATGTATTTTAATGAAAAAATGGAGCTCAAACGAGGGCTGAGTGATGACATATAGATACAAGAGACATGGCAATACATAAATTATTAAAGATAAATATCTCACACGTCTCTTTTATTTATCGTATAATCATGTTCTAATTTTAAAATTGAATTAAACGTGACAACTAGATACTTGGTTTTCTTAAAGTAACAATGTTTTGAAAAGGTTAAAGTTCCAAATTTATGGATACTTTGGCTATCCATGGATTTTACTAGAGTAGATAGCGACGAGATTGTAAATATATCTGTTTGAAAAATTGAGAAAGAATGTACAAGTACAAGGTTTTTTACGAGCATACACCAAAAAGGGTGTCAAAATGGGTGAATTCGGTTGGACCGATTTTATGTATGCTCAGTACAGATCTGTATGTACTTGAAATCTACCCATGACACCTTGTTAGAAATTTTAACGATATGTAATTTAAAGACAATGCTACATTAACAAACCCATCTACAAAAT